CGCAATTCTAGTATTAGAAACAAAGTCGTAGAGAAGGTTACACAACCTAAGTGAATCATATGTTCGTTTCATATAGGATTGCCCTTGAAGTTTCAAAAAATACAATTTTTAAAAATTTATGGTTCGTTATGATTATAATCAAAAGTTAGGGTCCAATATTGTCATTTATAAGATTATATTTTATCAAGTCAGCATTCGCTAATGGTCTTTATAACATGGGGGCGGTTCGGGTGACATGAATCCCTCATGTCATCCTATGACATGAGCCCTGATTAGGGCATCTACGATGTTCCTTTCGAAAAATTTATGGTTCCTACCCCCCTAACCTTCCCGGTAAACCCCCCCCCCCCCCCCACCTTCGGCCCCACCCAAACACTACCCCTGCACCCCCGTCAATTGCATGCCACAAGATTTAGTTGACTTTAGAGTCAAATTTTGACTCCAAAGCCAACTAAATCTTATGGTATGCAATTGACGGGGGCTGCAGGGGTATGTTTAGTACGGGCCGGGGGGGTTTACCGGTGGGGTTAGAGGGATAGGAACCACAAATTTTTCGAACGGAACATCGTATGAACCTCGTGTTATCCTATGACATTGAATCTCAATGCCATGGTAACCAAGGTGTTATAAGTTATAACATTATACGGAGTACAAAATTATTGTATACCTCAAAATTTTCCAAATTATTTTAATTTAGCTAAAAGTTTGACATATTAATTTTCAAATATATATAGTAAAATTATCATTAGCAAATGTTATATGCTTTATCATTATTTTAACTTTTATGTCCAATCTTTTATTTTGTTCGATTTTTGAAAAATGTTGCTGTAAAGAAAACTTACAAATTCGTTTCAAAAAAATAATTTAATCCCGTGCATAGTACAGGTCAAAATACTAGTAATAAATAAAGTACACTTATAAATAAATTCCATTTTTGTTCATTATACATTAGGTTTAGATGATATTCATTTGATTATATCCTATTCTTAAAAGCAGGGGAATTATGCCCCATGCTTTTTCCCGCCCAAACACTATCGTTTATGGACCATTGATTTTGATCTACATTTTTAATCTACGGTAATTATAATTAAGCAACATGCAAATATAGTTTTATTTCATTCTATAAAAGGAAAATGCCTTATAAGATTCATGCATGTGTAATTTAATGCGGTGTATATAATTAATATGGTTTTATAAAAGGAAAGTATTGTGTATATAAATGATACAGTTTTAACTATTTAAAAAAAATTAACTTTATAAAATCCGTACATACTTATTGCCCGAAAATTGAAGGGGCTTTTTTATGCATGAAAAAACATATTTAACATATTAAGAAAAGAAAGAATTACCAAAAAAAGAAATCATAAAATTTTGGAAGTTATTAGCATGTTAAACGAAAAGACCCCTTCTCGAATCATTTTTTATTTGTCTGATATGTCGAGTAGACCTGGCAAACCGGTCGGTCAGGTTGGATTCAGATTTGGTCACCTTGAGATTGGGTTACTTCGGGTTCGGATAAGTTTGGATTCGGATTGATAACTACATGTTCATGACCCACATCGGGTTCAGGCTGACCTAACGGGTTATGAGTTTCATTAATTTTTTTTTAAATTTTAAATAATTTCTATGACTTAGTGTCAATATTACGAATAAAAAAATTAAATATGTAGAAATTTTTAAAAAATGTAAGATAATTATGCGACATTATTAAAATTTGTTATGATGGTATAAATCTATACACAAAAAATGAGTAGTAAGCAAAGAAATATAATTATAATCTTATTTTTTTAACACTATATTTCATATTAAAATGTATGTTTCTAAAAAAATCTTGGATTAGTGGGTCGGTCTGGTCGGATTCGGGTTCAGTAGGGTTTGACCCATTTTAGTGGGTCATTTCGGGTTCAGTTAACTTCGGGTTCGGTCAGTAAAACCTTTGTTCAAAACCCAGTATTTTCGGGTCGCATCTCGGGTCAAAAACAGGTCGGATCATTTTTTGTCAGGTCTAATGTCGAGTATTGGGCGATGTTAAGAAAAATTAACCTCTTGAAACTTTTTTTCTCTATTATACGCGTAACTAATTTTTTTAGTGTGGCAGAAAATAAAAAAATATTGCAAGAATTCTAAAACCGTGAGTATTTTTGTGCTTAATAATGAATGTTTTAAAATTTTAATCTTATGTATTTTATTTGCACCATGTTAATTGCCTACGCATTAAAGTTATTAATAAAATTCAAGCATTCCTCCTTTTTTAAATCTTTCCTCTTTTTATTTCTATGCTTTAAAAGGTTATGAAATCAGCGTTTCAAGAAAAATAAATCTAACCTCCTTTGATTTTTAATAAAAATAATAATATCAAAATTCAATCATTCATTCTTTTTAATACTTTTTTTAAAACACTCGCCATTTTATTATCTTAAACCGTATTTAAGAAGTCACTTGGGCGGGAAAAAGATGGGTCCATGTTTCCCCTTCTTTTCGGAATAGGAAGATGTGGTGGAGATAATTTATGTATTACACAATTGAAAAAAATTATATTTCATTATATGGTGTACTTATTTACTTTTTTAATAATACCAATATAAATTTATAACGTTAGTACGAACCGTGCAACGCACGGGGTGTGATACTAGTTTCTTTAAATATAGGTACCTATTATTTCACCTGATTAAAAATATAGAAAATGTGAAATCGATGTTTTGGTATTAAAATATTTAAATAAATTCAATTATGGAAGAAATAATTCATTTTTAAGATAGTATTCTTTCGAATTCATTAAAGTATTTTTACTCACTTTATTTATAGAAAATTTTTAATTGATAAATAAGATGATTTTTTCACATCTAAATAACTTTCTTACAAGCATTAGTTTATTATATGTGAAAATGAAATTAGGTTTAGTTCAATTTATTTCAATAATAACGTAAAATTAAAACAAATAATACATTTTAATAACTACAATAAAAAATTCAAAAATCAATATATGACTGAGCTACACTTTTAAATAATAAATAAATCAATCTCTTCCCGACTAAATAGATTTTATACTTTGTATTTGTTTATGATACATGCAAATGAAGTTAGTTTGAATATATTTATTTAAATATTGACACTTACTAAATAAAATACTTTCTTCACCTATTATGAAATTTCAAATTTTTTTGACACCTAATATGTCACCTAATTTAAAACATACAAACGTAAAATCAACAGTTTCGTATGAAATCTTTGAATAATTTTAATTATGAAAGAGAAATTCATTTCTATGATAATATTCTTTCCTAATTTAATAATTTTTACTATCTTCATTTATAATAAAACTTTCAATTCTCCTAAAAAAAGCTTTCAATTAATAAATAAGATGCATTTTTACCTCTAACTTAATGTCATACGAGTATTTTTTTTATGATATGTTATAATTAAGTTAGCTTTTATTCTATTCATTGCAATATTGATGTAAAATTTAAAATAAACAATATGTTTAAAAAATTACATTCAAATATTTATAAAACAAGAGGTAACTAGACTATATTTATGTTAAAATAGAAAAAAATATTATACATAATTTTATAGTTCGAATGTATTGATTTTATGATTTGATTTAGTGCTAAATAATTTGTGGTTTTTAGACCTTAGATGATTTGTGATTGAAATCTAAAAATATATTATTTTTCATTATATTATCTATTATGATATGATAAGCTTAAATAAATTACAAAATACAATTGTTCAATGTCACTGAGTAAATTTAATCATAGAATAAATATCCTCAATTTCATTAGAATATACAAGCATTTTTTTTATTTTTCCACTTCATTTATAATAAAACTATCAATGAGTTAATAATTTATTAAATCACAACATAATTTATTCAAAAAAATTATATCCTTAATGTTATTTATAAAATCAGAAAAAAAAAATTATTTCATCATGTGCATGGCACGAGTTAAAAAGCTATTTTGTTAACAAAATTGAAGAAAAACATAGAACGAAAGGAGTACAACGTTAATTGAATTATTTTTTAATAAGCATATGAACCGGAAGAGAACACTAATTTTTCCATCGAGGGAAAAAAATTATGAAAAACACTCTCTTATAGGGTTTTAACTAGGGGTGGGCAAACGGGTCAAGGAACTGCGAGTCGGAACTGAATCGACAGGTTCAGTCCGAGCTAGGGGCGGGTCATGTTTTCAAATGTTTATAACGGGCCGGGTCGGTCCGGTCCTTATAGGTGTTAGGATCGATCCGATTCTCCATTTTGAAATTGTTTAGGACCCGGACCGAACCATTGTTTAATACTCTGTATATTTATTATTAATTATACCGGGAACAACGCCCTTACGAGTTACGTCATTACCTCTCTTTGTCATTGTTCTGTCTTCATTTAGGTCTTTTTTTGTGTTGGAAGACTTAAAATTGACAATGAGAGTAGTACATTGTTGTGGACTAATAGTGAATGACCATGTATGTATTACTCCGTACTAATTTATTATCACTTTATTTTTTTAATATTAGTATCATAATATGTTCGGATCCATTGACTCGTGAAATCGGCCCGTTTCAAACAAACCGGGTTAGATCCGGTTTCAATTTTAAAATTTTGAAAACCCGTTCCTGTAACGCCCCAAAAACCAGTCTAGTTGTTTTTGATAAAAAGATAATTGTTTGGTGATTGTACCCGTTTAGAATAGAAATTAGAATAATGAAATAATTATATCAGTTAATTAAGATTGACATATTAATTCTGAAAATATCAACGAAAATATTTTTGGAATAAAAATAAAATTAAAACAAAGTTTATTGAGAGAAGTAAGATAATTATAGAATAAACTAAATATATATATATTTATCTATTTTTAACCGACTAAAAGGGAGGAAACACGTGTTGTACCATCATCATCTTAGGATGTTACTTCATAGTTATCAAGTTCATCATTTTTCTTCACAATTAAGAAAGGTAAATATATACTCTATAAATAGTGCTAGAACCTAAGCCCACACCACAAACCTACGTATATACGGAGTATATATGTATATATACTACTCAACTAGTCTATTATAATCCTAGAAAATTTTAAGTACCTCTAAAGGGTTAACTCAAAGTTGAGTTGGTTGAATATATACAAATTAAGGGTGGTTTGCCGAAGGTATTGCCGGAATTGTTTTAGAGTATCTCACTAACGTCATAGCAATTCGATTCAACGTTAAGGTGAGTGCCGCCGCCCGTATAACAATTGTTACTTAATATAATACGTTGATATATGCTATATTTGTTATATATTCAATTGATTTAATTTCCGTCACTAATAATCAGGAACACCACCGACTTTTACTTTAAACATGCGTTACATCCAAATTATCTAAAATATTTCCCAAAAGGATTATATAAAGATTGTATAAGAGTATGCGAAGAAAAAAAAAAGGTTTTGAAACAAGTTTTTGAATACCGTTAAAGAAGGCAACCGGAAAATGGGTCACGATAGCGGCATACAATTTGTACAAATCTTTACGTCCAAACTATTTATATATGTTTTATAAAAAGTGTTTTGATGATAAAAAGAAGAAAAATTAGGTTTTAAACATAAAAACAAAGTTACCTAGTCGGAGAAGGTGACCGGAAACGACCAACTCCAAGTGACAAGATTCTTTTACATTCATTCTATACCTAAAACTATTTCTCTACATTCTAAGGAAGTTAAGGAAGTTTTTAATAAGTCTTGAGTAAGAAAAAAAGATAGCTTTGAAGCAAATATAAAATAATCTATATGTATTACATACTTTTAAATTACGTATATAGAGTAAAATATAATATGTGTTAAATTTGAAATATGGATTCAAAGAAGTTAATGAGACACATACAGATACAAATTATATTTTCTAAATTTAATAAACGATTTCTGGTATGTGAACTATGGTTCACAAAGTTCCACA